TATGGAGTATTAGTTTGCTGCCACCTGCTGGGAGGCAGGAATGGGTTTCTAGCCTCCTTAAAGGGCAAGAATGATGACCTTAGAAGTTGTAAAACTTTGCCCATCCCATGAAACAAAACATAATTCAGGTACCTTTGGGCCTGGAAGAAGTCAATATTAAATATGTGTTAACTGATTGTTTATGTTACCAGGAAGGCTTCTGGTCAACAGGAGGCTATTACTAGTTAGGTTTTGTGGGAGTCAAAAGTTACACTGGGATTTTTGACTGTGCAAGGGCCTTGTTCAAAGGCCAACTGTATTATTCATGCAGAACCACAATTAAAATAGCACCATATTTTCTCTCTACATACACACTTTTTTTTTTTTAATTTTAATTAAATCTTTATTGTTCAGATTATCACATTTGTTCCTCTTTTTTCCCCCCCATAACTCCCCTCCTCCCGGTTCCCACCCCACTCTCCGCCCTCACTCCCCACCCACTGTCCTCATCCATAGGTGCACGATTTTTGTCCAGTCTCTTCCCGCATCTCCCACACCCCTTTCCCCCCCAAGCATAGTCAGTCCATTCCCTTTCTATGTCCCTGATTCTATTATAATCACCAGTTCATTCTGTTCATCAGATTATTTATTCACTTGATTCTTAGATTCACTTGTTGATAGATGCATATTTGTTGTTCATAATTTGCATCTTTACCTTTTTCTTCCTCTTCCTCTTCTTAAAGGGTACCTTTCAGCATTTCATATAATCCTGGTTTGGTAGTGATGAACTCCTTTAGCTTTTCCTTATCTGTGAAGCTCTTTATCTGACCTTCAATTCTGAATGATAGCTTTGCTGGATAAAGTAATCTTGGTTGTAGGTTCTTGGTATTCATCACTTTGAATATTTCTTGCCATTCCCTTCTGGCCTGCAAAGTTTCTGTTGAGAAATCAGCTGACAGTCGTATGGGTATTCCCTTGTAGGTAACTGAGTTTCTTTCTCTTGCTGTTTTTAAGAGTCTCTCTTTATCTTTTGCTCTTGGCATTTTAATTATGATGTGTCTTGGTGTGGTCCTCTTTGGATTCCTTTTGTTTGGGGTTCTCCACGCTTCTTGGACCTGTAAGTCCATTTCTTTCACCAGGTGGGGGAAGTTTTCTGTCATTATTTCTTCAAATAGGTTTCCAATATCTTGCTCTCTCTCATCTTCTGGCACCCCTATAATTCTGATGTTGGTACGCTTGAAGCTGTCCCAGAGGCTCCTTACACTATTCTCGCATTTTTGGATTCTTTTTTCATTTTGCTTTTCCGGTTGGGTGTTTTTTGCTTCCTCGCATTTCAAATCATTGACTTGATTTTTGCGCTCCTCTGGTCTGCTGTCGGGAGTCTGTATAATATTCTTTATTTCAGTCAGTGTATGCTTAATTTCTAGTTGGTTCCCCAATATAAGATCGAGGGTCTCATTAGTTTTCTTGTAGATCTCATTAAGTTTATCGGCGGCTTCTAAACAGTTCTTGAGAGACCTTAAAAGTGTGGTTCTGAACTCTATATCTTCCATTGACAATTTTGTCCTGTTTCTTTGTCTCCGCATTTTGTTATGCTTCCTGGGTGCACCCCCTAGTGGTCTTTGTTCGCAGTCTTATAGTTAAACCTTGTTGTAGCTAATACCAGGGAGGGTTTGACCTCCAGGCCAATTGGCTATGAGAATCAGCTGTGTCAGCAGTGAGAGAACTTCTGTCCTCTAGGGAGGTGCTAATCTAGCCTTTGCCTGAGGCTATCCGGCAAATGCCTCTGTGCAGGGCTTGGGTGGGGCGGGTCGCACAGGATCAACAGGGTGGGGCGGAGAGAGCAGTTATGGCGGCTCTCAGTCCTGTCCCCAGGGGCTCCGCCTCTCTGAGTCCCAGCACCCGCTGCAAAGCTCAGAGAGAAAGCTGCACTCGCTCTGACCGAAGCCAGACAGTCCCGCTTCTCCCGTTTGAGTCTGGGTCCCTAGAGACTCACCTGTATCTGGAGCTCAGAGTCTGCGACTCCCTCCCGATTGAAAATGCCAACCGCGCCCTCCGCCGCCAGCCCGCTCCGCGCACTCCGCACCTCAGAATTTGCCTTCAGCACTGCGCCTCCTCTGAGTGTCCGTATGCGTTTCTCTTTCCTCCTAGTTGTGGGACTTCCACTCAGCCAGCGTTCCTGTGGTTCTTGGTGATGTCCGTTCTGTCTTTTAGTTTCACTTTTGAAGTAGTTGTTCAAAGCAGCAAACTCCAGCGTTAACCTATGCTGCCATCTTGGTTCTCCCACACTTTTTTTTTTTTGACTATCTGAAAGCAGTCTGCAAGTATCATGACTTCACCCCTGAACACTTGAGCATACATCTCCTAAGAACAAAAGCTAATAACCACAATATCATTATCATATCTGAGAAATGTAAGTCATCAATATATCTATCATGCTTTTATGTTCAAATTTTCCCAGGTGTCCGTAGATTGTCCTGCAAAATTCATAATCCTATACAGTTCACAGTTGGCTTAATGGAGATGAGTGCTATCTTTTTGTGTTGTCTTCCATGATATTGACATTATTGGAAAGTCCAAACAAATCACATTCTAAATTCATCTGAGAGCCCTGGCCGGCGGCCCATTTGGTTGGGCGTGGTCCAGCACCCCAAAAGGCTGCTGGTTTTATTCCCAAAGGCTTGATCCCCAGTGGGGGATGTGCCAACTCCACAGTGATGTTTTGCTCCACACTATTTTTCTCTTTTTCCTTTCCTCTCTTTCTAAACTCAATTTTAAAAATCTTTTAAATAAATTAATTTATCTGAGTGTTTCCTTACAGACTAAATGTTTTTGGCAAGAATGCTACATAGGGGTACTTCCAATAACCTCACAGCAACAGGTTTGTGTTTTTCCCATTATTGATGCTAGAAAATTTTCCCGATACTTATTAACATTTTGCAAAAGACTACTGTTCTGTGGAACATAGTCTAGGGAACACCTGTACAAGAAAAAAAGGTGAAATGCACTGAAGTGTTTAAGAGTTTGTAGACTAAAAAGCAAGTAGTGATTAAAAATCAAACTGAGCTTTCACAAAATTTAACTTACAACACACACACACACACACACACACACACACACACACACACACAAAATCAACAACCCAGTTGTACAGAAAAGCAATCCCAACGTAAGGAAATTAACTAACTTCTCCCAGATTCTATCCTTATTGTAGTTCCAGTGTTCAGGAGCTGAGGTTTGAAAGCAGGTCTGATTGCTTCCATGTTCTTTCCAGACCCTCTGCTTCATTTCGACTTATCTAATTTTTTACAATTGACTATTTTTTAAAATGTTTTTATTGATTTTTAAAGAGAGGGCACACCCCCCAACTGGGGAGGAGCCCATAACTGGGCATGTGGCCTGATGGGAATCCAACCAGTGACCTCTTAGTTCATGGGTCCACACTCAACCACTGAGCCACACCGGGCACAATGGACTATTCTTGGCTCTACTATTACTCTGGGGTAAAAGTGGTGGTCTTTTATTTATTTATATATTTTATTGATTTTTTACAGAGAGTAAGGGAGAGGGATAGTCAGAAACATCGATGAGAGAGAAACATCGATCAGCTGCCTCCTACACACCCCCCACTGGGGATGTGCCCACAACCAAGGTACATGCCCTTGACCGGAATCAAACCCGGGACCCTTCAGTCCGCAGGCCGACGCTCTATCCACTGAGCCAAACCGTGGTGGTCTTTTAATAGAAATAATAATGAAGACACTAAGAAACCGTTTTATTGTTCTATATTCAGTAAGAATCAACCTATGTCAAGTAGCTGACGAAGGCCTAACTCCTCGCAAATGTATGCAACTATGCAAATCGTATGTGAAGACTGGGGTCTCGGTTGCAGATACTAATTATAACAGAGCCCCCGCTTATGACCTGTTCTATTGGCCATGACTTGATCCTTGCTATTGCCCACCGATGCCGTCATGGTTCCATTACACCAAACATTCTGGAGACATCAGTTTTCCTTAAAAATCCCAGAACTCAGGTTTTACGACTTATTATGTAATCGAATAGGTTTTCAAAATATTCGTTACCATTCTGCCCCCCGCCGGGAGGTAGCAAATATTTAAGTATGTTCGTTTTTATCTCCATTTCAGGCGAGAGCCTTTCCCCCCAGATGACTTTCCGAAGGAAGTGAGCGCGAGTCCTTGCTTTTGGTGCAAGTTCAGAAATTTAATCTATACGAATGGGTGACTTTTAAAAGAAACAACGGACAGGCCTTCCACCTTTAGAAAACACGCCAGGGTTAAAAATTTTGCGTTCTATTTCGGCGGCACGCTGAGTATTTTTTGCAGCAGGCTGGAAACTGCCTTGCGGAGTCTGAGTCTCCTTAATCTCATCAGCTTGTCCAACGTCCCATGTCTCGCCCTCGACCCCAAACGTTCAGATTCTCGGGAGCGGAAGGAGGAGGTCTTCGGGCGCGGAGCCCGGGCTGGACTCCGGCTCGGTCTCCCCGGCATCGCGAAGCGCCACGGCCCGGGGAGGTGGGCGGGGGGGTGAACGTGCCCCTCGAACCCGCAGGAGAGAGACCCAATCTGCACTTGCCGAAAAGCGAAAGCCACCCGAAAGGCCGTGCGCCGCCTCCCCCGCGCCACTTCGCGACAACTTCCCTGCGCCCGCCACAGCCCCGCGGGCCGTCACGTTACACGTCCCCGCCACGCGCCGGAATCCCGCGGCCACGTCCGCCGGGACCTGGCCACGCCCCGAGCTGCCACTCGGCTCCCAGCGCCCGGCAGTGGGCGCTGCGCCTGCGCGCCGCGGAGAGCGCGGGGCGGGGCGAACCCGGTCGGCGGAAGGGGCGGGGTCGGGGCGGGGCTGCACTTCCGTGGCCTTGGCGGGTGAGTATGGGGCGGGGGTTGTACGCTGCCGGAGTCGGTCCGCTGGGGGTGCCCAGTCGACTTCGGGGGCGCCCCCTGGAGGATCTGGGGTGGGGGAAGGAAGAGAAGAATATCGCATGGGGTGTGCGGGGTGTGTGGACGGGCAGGCGTCGGGAAGATGGGCGCAAAGGGACGGTTCCCTGTTTGTTTCTCCTTAAGGACGAGCTCTGAGAACAGTGCGAGTGCATCACCTGGGGCAGGTTTGTGAGCTCACCTGGTGCACAGTAGGGCTCGCCCCTTGCCGCTGCAAAACCCGGCGAATGGTTCACCAGTGCATGGGCCCATGAAAAGCACGGTAGTCCAGTGTAGCTACTGCCAGAGGTAAAATTAAAACGCATCTTGTATGAAGGGAAATCCAGGATGTAACAGGGTTTAAACAGCTCCTAGGTCTGTCAAATACTGTGCCCGCGGGCTAAGCCTCTTCCAGCAAGCATACTGTATGCAGATAATTGGCATTTCTCATTAGAGCTTGAAAGACAACCTGTGCCAGATGACATTTCTTTAAAACCTTTCTTAAGCGTTGTGCCCTAGTACACGTACTTTTCGAAAACAAAATTCAAGAAAGGCTATTGTATCTTTCCAAGTTGATAGAAAACCAAACATTTCCTGAAGGTCTGTGCAGGTTCTAAAGCATTTTGGGGTCGTCCAGGATGCCCAGAATATTCTTCTATGTAGTAAGCACTTCACATCATTTTTTTGTTCAACGCAATAAGAATTAAAAAGAAAAACAAACAGTTCAGTTCTCTGAAGGCTTGTATTCTATTGGAGACAATAAACATGTGAAAAGTTACATGACCATAAGAGAAGGTAGTCATGGTTTGAGATATTCAGAGTTGTCTGAAGAAAACCTGTGCCTGCCTTGGAAAGTGGTGGTGAGTGCTTGAATCATTTGCCTCTCAGCTGATTGTTGCCATGTGGGAATAATCCCCAACACAGGCTGAAGTATATATTTCTATGTAATTAAAAATTTGTTTAAATGTTATTGGCAATCAATTTACTCACACCTCCTCTGTGAGCCAGAAACAGCCAGTTTGTGACTTCTGCAGATTATCACCAGAGTATTCAGAAATAATTGGTATTAAAAGAGGAAAAAAATTACTTGAAACGGTTGGTCAGGTGAGGATTTAAGAAAACAATGGGATTTAAGCTGGGTCAGACAGGAGAGGTGTCTTAGAGGGGGGAGGACATAAAAGGTGAGTAAAATCTCAGCTGGGAAAGTCAGTAGAGATAATGAGTAAACTTTCCCTTGAATAGGTCTGAGAAAGCAAGTACAGTAACTGGAAGAAAACTGGTTTGGGAAACTCTACAGGGCCAGGCTGGACTTTATTCCAGGTCAGCGGTTCTCACATTTGAACATACATTAGAGTCATCTGGAAGGCTTATGAAAAGAGATTGCTGGCCCCCACCTGGAGAATTTCTGATTGAGAAGGTCTGGGGTGGGGCCTGAGAATTTCCCTTTCTCATCAGTTTTCAGTTGGTGCAGATGCTACTGGTCTGGGACCACACTTTGAGAATCACCCTCCTAGGGTGTGGGGAACTGCTGGAGGAATTTGATGTGGATAAGATCAATCGCATTCATGGCTCAATATGAATCTTACTGTGAAGCCCAAGACAGGAGACTGAGAGAGAGAGAGAGAGAGAGAGAGAGAGAGAGAGAGAGAGAGAGAGAGAGAGAGAGAGAGAGAGAGAAAGAGAGAAAGAAGGTTCCTTACAGTTAATTAGCACCTGTTTGCTGCCAGGCCCTCCGCCAGGCTCTCGCATGCACACTATTTCATGTGATACTCACTGTGACCTTGATGTGTTGGTCTTAATATTTTCATATGGAGAGTGGTAGAGGTTGCCCAGGTCTCATAGCGAGGCCAATCTAGGAGCTCCCTAAGACTAGTTCAGATTTGGACTAAGGTAGTAGCAGTAGAAACGAAAACATTTAATGGTGATGGAATTTAGAAAAATAGAGACTTCCCAAGCAGATTGAAATGTAAAAGTAAAATTTGGGAAAGTGATAAAGGTCAAGTGGACAGGGAACTTGAGAATGTTCCCTGCATGAGTTCAGTGTGTGTTCTGTTACTCTTATATAACAGTGACCTATTTAAAAGTTGCTTGTTTAAAAAGTCATCCTGCTCTACCAAAATTTCCTGAAATTATTTGAAAAGGAGAAAGTAAAGCCTTCTTTGAGCCTTCTTTGGGGGTGGTGGGAGATGCTGAATAGATTAATGCACCTGACTGCTTATCTTCAAATCAGAAGTGATTAGCATTGAGAAATGGAAACACATGGTATAACACTGCATTGACTGTGTGAACTGTGCTGTGCCTCGGACACTGACCTAATGTATTGGTTTTGGAAATCCGGTATGCTCGTACTTGCCAGAGTAGTTATTGAAATTGAAAATATTCATTGGATCAATTTCAAGACAAATATCCCAAGTCAGACTGGCTGCTGCTGAGCAAATTTTTAATGAAGGAAAATATCCATATATTGAAGCCAGACTTTAACAAGAAAGTTCTTAGAATAAATATATATTTACTTTAAAATCTAGAAAAAGTGTATGTATTCAAACATCGATGGACTGAATTATTAAGGTAATGGAGTTATTGACCTGTACAAAATTATAGCATACGTTCATTCATTTATTCAGTGAGCAATAAAGTTTGATGTGGATACAAAGATAACTCATTGTCTAGGCAAGACTGATTTTAAAAAATGATCACAAAACAATGTGATCATTGCTATACTGGAGGGATGTGACTGGTACGGGGTGACAGGAGTGACAACTGAAGGGGCGCAGAAAGGAGCCCAGGGAACTGTTGTAGATCAGTGCCAGTAATGGAAGGTGAGTTAATAATGGCTGTAGAGATGGCTGTAGTAGATTGGGGTTTTCATTAAGGTTGTGCCTATTGGTAGGTTGCAATCTACATTTAAAAAGTAGAGTAGAAAAAAGACAAGGTGTGTCACATGTAATAGGGGTATGTGAAGTTTTGTGAAACTTGTTTCAGTTATATGACTCTCTGTTGACTGATGAGTGTATTTCTCGCTATGGACTGTGGTCAAAGTTTAAAAGCCATTATAGTAGAGAAATGTGGGAATGAGGTTGGAGAGAAGGGAATGGATATAAAAGATATTTGGGGGGAGAACAAATGTGAATTTTAAAATGCTGCTATCCATGTGAACTCTCTTGTAGGGGAGAGGATGCACTTACCAACCCATTTCATTATTTTTGCCCAGTTGATGTTTTCCATTGTGCATTAATACATTGACATCTGGTTTATTAGGAATGGCAGAGCTTTGAGGTATCTTACTGAATGTTGTAAATGCTTTAAAATTTCTCTTGTGTTTTGGTAGTGCTCAGCTTAAAATCATAGATAGGATGAAACTATATTCCCAGGAATCCTGGAAATTCATTGGAACAGATTGATTTGATTATTGGCCAAATTCTTTGATTTGTTCCCATAAGGAAGTAGGAATAGATGCTTAGTTACACAAGCAGGTGGGAAGTTGTCCTCCCTACCTCTGATTTTGCCACTCCAGTAGACTTAGTTTGTTGCGCCTGTGACATATATATAAGCCTAGAAAATTGCTCATACAGGCTGAGTTATATTGGCTTTTAAAAAATTTATAGACTCTTTTAAAGTCTGATTGGTTAAGTTAATTGGTTCATATATGTTATGCTTTTAGTTATCAGGTGTGAATTATTCTTCATGGAGAAAAAAACATTAAACAGTTTTTAGGAACTTGGTCTGTTCTGTCACCTAATACATTATTGGGATCTCCTACGATAAGGTTTACACAGAAAACGTAAGCAGCCTGCCATCATCATTCCATATTCAAAGGTAAAGGGTTATTTGGTGTTCCTTTGATGTGAGGTGCCCCCACTCCTCTTTTTATACAGTAACCTAGAGTTGAAACCCATAGTTTTTCCCAAGTTCTGCCACTAGTTGAGAGGCCTTGGTCAGTCAGTGTGACCTTCCTGAGCCTCCCCTGTAAAACAGAATCTCATCTGCGTTGTGAGGCTTAGCTGAGGAAATGCACGCACAATGTCTCACACATAATAAACATTCAATAAAAGGCAGCAGCTGCTGCTCTGCCATTCAGATGGTCCACAGATTTTGGGGCACCAAGAGATTTGAAGGTATAAAAACCTAGAACTATGTACACCTGGATAGCTTTTTGGTTTGGGCAAAAGAATGGAGTAAACTGGTATCATCCTCAGGAAAGATTAGCAGAGCCCCTGTGCATGACATGCAAATTGGTGAAGCATTCCATATTTTCAGGGCTGTACAGTAGGTCCTTGGGTTACGTCAGAGATCAGTTCCTACGGTGCGATGTATCGCGATTTTCGTCGTTAAGTCAGAACCTCCCTACATAAGCACCTAGTCACTCACATGGAGCACATACACAGCAGAAATGAAGTGAAACAGCAAAAACAATTTAGGTCAACACTCAACCACTGAGCCACGCTGGCCAGGCCTAGCAAAAACAATTTAAAAGAAAGATAAAGATTCCTGACCTTTACTTGTAAATAAATAATAAAAAACATAAAGCACATATGTACATACGTCAAAATGACGAAACTTTTTTTTATATATATGGGAGATGGCGACATAACCATGAAAGGACGCACATTGAGTCCGACATAACCTGAGGACTGTCTGTAACATTAAACTTTTTTTAAAAAAATTGTATCGTCCTTTTTCTGTCTCTTTTCACTTAAAGACCTTTTAAGATTTGTGTTGGCATCAAAGGGCAGAGAACTTTACAATCCCAAACTATGATGAACTCTGCAGTATAAACCGTAAACTTGCCAGATGGTTGACATGGATTTTTCTGAGAAAGACTGCAATTAAGTAGTAAGAAATCACTATTTTAAATGTTAGAGCAATCTGTATACTATTCATTAGATGATTTTTATTTGTCTCATTTACTTAGGGAATGTTATTTGCTTGCATTAGCATAAGTGGGCATATTTTCACCTAGTAAAGCTCTTGTTATTGGGCTTTATTCCTTATAAACTTGTCTTTCTGTCTTGGAAAATTAATGTGAAAGATACCTTGATTCAAAATAGGGAATTTAAATAGTGGAATATTTTTAGTCAAGATTCTCAGGTTAAGATTATTTTTTTTAATTAAATCTTTATTGTTCATATTATTACATTTGTTCCTCTTCCCCCCCCCATAACTCCCCTCCTCCCAGTTCCCGCCCCACCCTCCTCCCTCACTCCCCACCCACTGTCCTCATCCATAGGTGCACGATTTTTGTCCAGTCTCTTCCCGCATCTCCCACACCCCTTTCCCCGACCAAGAATAGTCAGTCCATTCCCTATCTATGTCCCTGATTCTATTATGATCACCAGATTATTTATTCACTTGATTCTTAGATTCACTTGTTGATAGATGCATGTTTGTTGTTCATAATTTGTATCTTTACCTTTTTCTTCTTCTTCCTCTTCTTAAAGGATACCTTTCAGCATTTCATATAATACTGATTTGGTGGTGATGAACTCCTTTAGCTTTTCCTTATCTGTGAAGCTCTTTATCTGACCTTCAGTTCTGAATGATAGCTTTGCTGGATAAAGTAATCTTGGTTGTAGGTTCTTGGTATTCATCACTTTGAATATTTCTTGCCATTCCCTTCTGGCCTGCAAAGTTTCTATTGAGAAATCAGCTGACAGTCGTATGGGTATTCCCTTGTAGGTAACTGAGTTTCTTTCTCTTGCTGCTTTTAAGATTCTCTCTTTGTCTTTTGCTCTTGGCATTTTAATTATGATGTGTCTTGGTGTGGTCCTCTTTGGATTCCTTTTGTTTGGGGTTCTCTGCGCTTCCTGGACCTGTAAGTCTATTTCTTTCACCAGGTGGGGGAAGTTTTCTGTCATTATTTCTTCAAATAGGTTTTCAATATCTTGCTCTCTCTCATCTTCTGGCACCCCTATAATTCTGATGTTGGTACGCTTGAAGCTGTCCCAGAGGCTCCTTACACTATCTTCGTATTTTCGGATTCTTTTTTCATTTTGCTTTTCCGGTTGGGTGTTTTTTGCTTCTTCGCATTTCAAATCTTTGCCTTGATTCTTCCGCTCCTCTGGTCTGCTGTTGGGTGTCTGTATAATATTCTTTATTTCAGTCAGTGTATGCTTAATTTCTAGTTGGTTCTTTATCACAACATCGAGGGTCTCATTAGATTTCTTGAGGATCTCACTACATTTATCGGCGGCTTCTAGACAGTTCTTGAGAGACCTTAAAAGTGTGGTTCTGAACTCAATATCCTCCATTGACAGTTTTGTCCTGTTTCTTTGTCTCTGCATTTTTTATGCTTTCTTGGTGCACCCCCTAGTGGTCTTTGTGCTCAGTCTTGTTGTAGTTAAGCCTTGATTGTTGTCAGCAATACCAGGGGTGATTTGACCTCCAGGCTAACTGGCTATGAGAGTCCACTGTGTCTGCAGTGGGAGAGCTTCTGTGCTGGATCTCTAGGGCGGTGCTAATCTAGCGTTTGCCTGGGGCTATCCGGCAAATGGCTCTGCGCAGGGCTTGGGCGGGGCCGTTCCCCGGGGATCTACAGGGCGGGCAGAGCGAGCAGTTATGGCTGCTCTCAGTTCCGTCCCCTGGGGGCTCTGCCTCACAGAGTCCCAGCAACCGCTGCAAACCTCGGAGAGAGAGCTGCCTTTGAGTTCCGACCAAAGCCAGACAGTCCCGTTTCTCCCGTTTGAGTGTGGGTCCCTAGAGACTCGCCCGGATCTGGAGCTCAGAGTCTGAAACTCCCTCCCGATTGAAAACAACAACCGCGCCCTCCGCCGCCAGCCCGCTCCGCGCGCGCACTCTGCACCTTAGTATTTCACTTCAGCACTGCGCCTCCTCTGAGTCTGGGTATGATATTCTCTTTCCTCCTAGTTGTAGAATTTCCACTCAGCCAGCCTTCCTGTGGTTCTGGATGATGTCCGTTCCGTCTTTTAGTTGTTTTTTGAAGTGGTTGTTCGAGGCAGCAATCTCCAGCGTTAACCTATGCCGCCATCTTGGTTTCTCAATCTCAGGTTAAGATTATTACTCAAACTTTTCTTTGTAGTAAAGCAGTTCAACATAAAGTAGATAGAGTATCCATTTATGAACCTTTAACAAAAATTATTAACCAGTTACCATGTGCCACGCATTGTGCTTCTAAGGAAATTAAGAAGAAGATATTGTCCTTTCTCTGGGAGGATTATCAGCTGGGTGGAGGGATGAGATTTGGTGAGAGAGATCTATAAATAGATAAATTAGAACACAAGAAGACAGATAGGCTACCTGAGATGTGAGTAAAGGCTTTGGAGCATCGATGGCCTAGGTAAGGTGGGGGAAGAGTGTGTTAGGAGAGCTGATATTTGAACTAAGTAGGAATTTGACAGGCAAGAAAGTGGAAGATATACATTCCCGGACACCTATTTTTGTTGCAGCATATAGGTGTTGTTGTTGTTTTTTAAATCTACCATGCTTTAAAATGGTTACTAGCCATTAAGATGATGATTCTGATAGAACCTCTGTGCATAGGAACATAGCTAAAACATGATTATCACTTTTTTCACTTTACACATAGTTCTTTTTACTAGGTGTTTGAGTATATAGGCTAATTTATATCTAATTTAGAAAATGTCATAAATATACATTGATTGTAATACCGATGCTCACAATAACTGGTTAAATTAGAAACTCATCACGTTTGATTTTCATATAATGAAGAAATATAAATGCAGAATGAAGGAAGTTATAAGTGATGGCAAAGATAAAAATTAAATCATGAATAGTTACTAAATATTTCTCATTAAAATTATAAAAATTCTAAATTTTATCTTAAAGAGAGTTTTATTAAATAGTAGGAGCCCAGTGCGCGATTTGAAATCATGTGGTGCCGCCCACCCTTGAGTCGCCGTCAGGCCCTGCCTCCCTCTCCGGCCCTTGAAGCAGCCGTGACCACTGCTGATCAGGCCCTCCCCCAGCACAGGCGCATGAGGCCCCTGCCGCCCCACCCCCATTGCTGCGCGCACAACCTCCTCCTGTCCGATCCACCTGTTATGGCGTCCTGGTTAATTAGCATATTTCTCTACTATATATATATATATATATATTTTGCAGCTGTATTTTGTTTATTTTAAATGTCCTTTTGAGTGTTTGTGTCAAGGGTAGTAATGAATGTTTTAAAATTGTTTTTTAGAAACATTTTTACACATTTTTAATACATTATCCCTTTAGAATAAGACTTAATTTTGTACAAACAGAAGATGCTACTTTTTCTCCCACCCAAACAGAAAAATGATGAGCAGTTTTTGTTCTAATAAACCAGTGATGGCGAACCTATGACATGTGTGTCAGAGGTGACACGCGAACTCATTTTTTTGGTTAATTTTTCCTTGTTAAATAGCATTTAAATATATAAAATAAATATCAAAAATATAAATCTTTGTTTTACTATGGTGCAAATATCAAAAAATTTCTGTAGGTGACACAGCATCAGAGTTAAGTTAGGGTTTTTCAAAATGCTGACACGCCGAGCTCAAAAGGTTCGCCATCACTGTAATAAACAAACTTAAAACATTTCTTTCTTTTCCTAATAGAATGTTATTTAGCTAAAATTATTTTTGTGTTGATGGGCCTTGAAGTACAATTTAGAGGTACTTTGGAGTAATAAAATAATCTATTTCATTGTGTTCTGAGGTACTTGAAAACCAAAATTTTCAAATAATCATAAACCCAAACTTGGTAGACAATATGTAAGTTTTTGTTTGCCACTGCAAACTTGGTCTATGGTCTCATTTTTTACTAAGGTTTTATAAATTGCTATAATAATAATAAAAGCTAACATTTATTGAGCTCTTACTGTGTGCTAGGCACTGTTCCAAGCTTTTTACAGGAACTCATTCCATTCTCACAGCTATCTATTCTCTTCCTTTTCTCTTACCAGAAAGTTGAGGCACAGAGTGGTTAAGAGGCCCACGGTCATAATAGCTTAAGTGGCAGAGTCTCGGAGTTACTGAGGTTCATGACCTCTGTATTTTCCTGACTCTCAGCAGACTGAGCTTTCATTGTCTAATACACTTTGAAGTAGAGAAGGTCAGTAAATTTAAGTAAAGGATCGTCAACTAACCCCATAGTGGTTCAACCTTTAGTGTGCTTACGTAAAGAGATTCTGATTCGTGGGGCTGAGAACGTGCATTTTAAATAAGCACCCAGGCGGTTCTGACTGTACTTTGAGACACACCGATCTGGTTGGGATACAGTCCTCACAGCTCATTTCACATGAAGGCTTGTTGTCATTTGCGTGTGTATGTTAGGCCATTCTTTGCAAATATCTGTGTTCCAGCGTGAGTCTATTAAATACATACTCTATCTAAATTTATACCTCAGGTGCCTGCACTACTAGTCACATATATTGTGTTGAGACTAGCTATCATCAGAGGGATTTTTTTTAAGAAAACATTTTGGCTCTGGCTGGTGTGGCTTGGTTCAGCATTGTCCCGTGCTTCAAAGTCACCACTTAGATTCCCTGTCAGGGCACATGCCCGCGTTGCAAGTTCCGTCCCAGTAAGGGGATGTTTCTTTCTCACATCGATGTTTCTCTCTCTCTCTCCTTCTGCCTTCTCTCTCCCTCTAAAAACAACAACAACAAAAAAAAAACCCAAACAAATAAAAAAAATTTAAAAAATATTTTGAATGAGCTTCAGAATAGGGTTTGATCCAAGAAAATTGTTAAGGTGAATGTAAGATCTGTAGTCAGAAGAAAATAAGCATGACGTAAAATTTCTGCCCTACTGTTTTTGTGTGTGTGAATTTGTTTTCTGTTTAGAAGAAAACTTGTATGTACATTGCCCTTCACCGTAGAGCAGTCGTTCCATGATTTGGGTTATTCAGAATATTCACTGTAGGCAAGGAGGGGTCTTCTCTCTTAAGTTTGGTAAGAAACTTTAACCCATTGGTACTACCAAGAACCCTGATTATGTGTGTTTTAGAATATGGCAAAAAACACTAAGCCTTGTAGTTTTACTACTTCAGCATCTTAATTGTATGTTGAACTGGCAAAAATATGTTGTTGTTGTTTTTGTTTTTAGGGTGTTACAAAGCACATTGAGCCAAAAACCGTCCGGTGTTTTCTTCAGCTACAAACAAAATGAACATCCCAGTGCTGCTCCATCCTCACCAGTGCTTCCTGAAAGGCCTTTTGCGAACAGCTTTCCGACGTTACCACTTCATCTTGCACTCAAGAACTCATCTCAGATTAGGAGGCCCATGTGCTCGGCTATCTGATTCTCTTGGACTTCCTTGTACAAAGTGGATGCTGCTGTCCAATGGTTTAAAGAGACAGTTATGTGTACAAACAACTTTAAAGGAACATACAGAAGGACTTTCTGATAAAGAACAAAGACTTGTGGATAAACTTTATACTGGTCTAATCCAAGGGCAAAGGGCCTGCTTAGCAGAGGCCATAACTCTTATAGAATCAACTCACCACAGGAAAAAAGAGCTGGCCCAGGTGCTTCTTCAGAAAGTGTTGGTCTACCACAAAGAACAAGAACAATTAAATAAAGGAAAACCACGGGCATTTCGAGTGGGTCAGTCTTTTCTTTTTCTTAATCTGTCCAGGAAATACTTTTCTAAGTTTTCTCTTTAAAAAAAAAAAAGTCTGAATAATTTGTGTTCTAATGGGGATTTTTGTTCTTTTCAGAATTTTGTTAGGATTTTTTTTTTTTGTCTAAAGTTTTGCATATGTCTCCTTTTTCCCCACTTGACCCCCCCACCCCCTGTAGCCATTCCCACCCTTGGCAAGCCCCCACTGCCCCAGTGTCTATGTCCATTGGTTTTGCTAATATGCATGCATACAAGTCCTTTGATTGCTCTCTACCCCACCCCACCCCCACTCCCCTGCCATTTGTCTCTGGATCTATTCTTGTTCATTAATTTATGTTGATCATTATATCCCACATATGAGTGAGATCATGTGATATTTATCTTTCTCCAACTGGCTTATTTTGCTTAGCATAATGCTCTCCAGTTCCATCCATGCTGTTGCAAATGGTAAAAGTTCCTTCTTTTTTATAGCAGCGTAGTATTCCATTGTGTAGATGTACCACAGTTGTCTTTTTTTTGTTTGTTTGTTTTTTTTTTTATTGATTTCAGAGAGGAAGGAAGAGGGAGAGAGAGATAGAAACATCCATGATGAGAGAGACTCATGGATCGGCTGCCTTCTGCAAGCCCCCCACTGGGGATCAAGCCCACAACCCGGGCATGTGCCCTTGACCAAAATCGAACCTGGGACCTTTCAGGTCCCAGGCTGACGCTCTAACCACCTAGCCAAACGGGCTAGGGCCACAGTTTTTTAATCTCATCTGCTGATGGGCACTCAGGTTGTTTCCAAATCTTAGCTATTGTAAATTGTGCTGCTATGAACATAGGGATGCATATATCCTTTCTGATTGGTGTTTTTGTTTTCTTGGGATATAGTCCTAGAAGTGGGATTACTGGGTCAAATGGGAGTTCCATTTTTAACTTTTTGAGGAAACTCCATATTGTCTTCCACAGTGGCTGCACCAGTCTGCATTCCTACCAGCAGTGCACGAGGGTTCCTTATTCTCCACATCCTCACCAGCACTTGCCTTTTGTTGTTTTGTTGATGATAGCCATTCTGACAGGTGTGAGATGGTATCTCGTTGTTTTGATGTTAGGAATTTTAAATGTTTTTTCACTGTAAGTATTAGTCTTGGTATACTGAAAAAAGGATTTCTGGCCATTTGAAGCAGGCTCTGTATTTTAAAAGAATAGCATAAGGCCCTGGCCAGGTGGCTCAGTTGGTTGGAGCGTCATCGCATACACCGAAAGGTCGTGGATTCGATTTCCAGTCAGGGCACATACCCAGGTTGCAGTTTTGATCCCCAGTCAGGGTGAGTAGGGGAGGCAACCAATTGATGTCTCTCTCACACATCAGTGTTTCTCTTTCTCTCTTAAAAAAAAAAAAAAGAATAATACAAGTTTTCTATTGGCAAGAATTTTGTTATGTCTCCTAGACAGAAATATGAATAGGAAGAACTGTTATCTAGTTTATTTCTTTGTCTTGGTAGTCCTTCAGCTTACTAGTCTAGAGTGAATTCCCAATTTTTGTGGTTATATCAATTATAATCATCCTTGTCACATTTTAAAATTCTACTTCTTGGCTGTTTCATTAGTCTTTCTAGAGGCAAGTCTCACTTCTCTCAGACACTTTTGTTAGAGTTTCTGGGAGTAGTTTGCCTCCAAGCACAACCATCTCATTACCAAAATGTATTTTAAAGGGGAGATCATATTTATTTGCTGTCTAAAAATATTAAATGTTCACTTGATTTCTTGAGTAGTTGACTTGTTTCTGTAATTGCATATAAGCTTGTTGTATTTTTGAAATTATGCATTTTAAAAACAGTTTAGATATGTTTAACCATTAGGAATTAAGTCAGTTTTGGGTGGCATAAGAGCTGTTCATGATGGCAAACTAGGTGATTCCAACCAACCTCTCACTAAAAACAATTCACAGTGGTGGGCAAAGTGCAGGGATTTTGTGAGGAGTGAGTAAGTATACTTAAAAATTGACTGACATTACACTTTTATGTTTCAGTTTATTGGTGATATGGGGACTAAAACCTTTTAATTTTTAGGGTAACAGGGCATAAATGCTTTAAAGATAATTTTAAAAAGAGTGTTACTTTTCACACATCTTACATCTTATTCTTCTGCCCTCACTGAGAATACTACACAGGGTGTTAATAATCTTTATGCAGACAAACTAGCAAACTCCCAAAGAAATTTTAGTGCTGACAAAGTATTTATCTCTTAGGCTTTAAAGAATCTTTGAAGAAAAAATGTCCCAGAAATATGTGGTGTTAACCAGTAACCACACATGACTGGCAACTTGCCATTTCTCAGTGCCTTTTGGGTTCTTCCATTTTGCTCTTATGAGGCCGGATAAACCTGTGTCTTTGTTGCAGTTACTTTATTCCCATTATAAATAAAAGCACCAAATGTTTATTGGGCACCCATAGAGAGGTTTAAGACAGAGATCTGCCCTGAACCAAGCATACTATGTATGCCATACATACTTTTGAATATAGTTACAATTAAATGCTTATGTGTTATATACTTTATTGAACATCCACTTACATATCTTTTACTTTATGCCATGAGCTGTTTTAAACATATTGTCAATATTAACTCACCTAATCCTTATAACAACCTGAAGAGATAGGTGCTGTTATATCCATTTTATTGCAGCACATCCTTATGTATGGAAGGGTTAAGTAACTTACCCAAGATTACATAGCTCATCAAAGGCAGAACTAGAAAGAGAACTGGCGAGTGGCTCCTGAGTTTGTGCCCTTACCTGCCATGCTTTACTCACTCTCCAAGTAGGGGAATTTCCCCTCTCTCTCCCTCTCTCCCACCCTCCCTTCCACCCTCCTTCTCTTCCTTCCTTTTATTCAGTAAATATATATTTTATTTAAGTGTAGTTGGTTTACAATCTTATAGTAGTTATATTAGTTTCAAGTAGTTATATTTGTTCCAGTGTAGTGATTCAACAATTTTATACCTTACAGTGTGATCACCCCACTAATTCTAGTAATCATCTGTCATCGTGTAAACTTATCACAATATTAATGGCTGTAATTCCCCTTTCCCTTTTCACTCATTCCTCCATCCTCTCCCCTCTGGCAACCATCCCTTTGGTCTCTGTTTCTATGAGTCTGGTTTGTTTGTTTGTTTATTTGTTTGTTTTTTAGTTTTGTGTGTGTTTTTTGTTGTACTTTTTTTTAAAATTCCACATATAAATGAAACCAGTTTGTCTTTTTCTGCCTGACTTATTTCACTTAGCATAGTACCCTCTGCCTTTCTTAAGACAAATAATTATTTTCAGGATTCAGTTTATATTATACTAGAGGCCCGGTGCACAAAATTCGTGCACTCGTGTGTGTGTGTGTGTGGGGGGGGGTCCGTTAGCCCGGCCTGTGCCCTCGTGCAGTTCGGGAGTCCTCAGGGGATGTCCGACTGATGGCTTAGGCCCGCTCCCTGCCAGCAGTTGGACATCTTGGACATCCTTAGCACTGCCGCGGAGGCGGGAGAGGCTCCTGCCACCACCGCTGTGCTCACCAGCTGTGAGCCCAGCTTCTGGTGCACTGACCACCAGGGGGCAGCTCCTGTGTTGAGCGTCTGCCTCCTTGTGGCCAGTGTGCGTCGTTCTGCCGTTCGGTCATATTGGCCTATTATTACATAGGATTCTTTGAATTATGGGCGAGATGGGAAAAATTTATAAGTAGAAAATTATTTTCTCAATCACTAGCAATTTCTAGAATACTGAGTTATTTTTTCTAATGGGAAGATAAAGTGTACAGAATATGGGTAGGTGTAATAACTACTGATCATGATGAGAGGTAGGCAGATGTTGTAGAAGTTCAGCACATTAATAACATAGGTGATGCAGTCTGTCCCAAAGATCTACATTATAGTAAAAAGGAGATCACATTTTGTAATTTTAAAAAATGAATTTGGGGCACATAGGGAATTCAGAATGGTTTCCTTCCTATATCTCTATTACTTAGGAACTAGATAGATAAATGGATTTTTGTTTACTGCTTTCGGAAATGTTAAAATACAATAATGGTTTTAATAAATTAGGAGACACAGAAGGAAGTTAACATTTTAATAGAAATCATCATTTATTTTATTAAATCAGAAGATCTCTTTCACTGTAGGGTTGTCTGGGCCCCCTGGTGCCGGAAAATCAACATTTATAGAATATTTTGGAAAGATGCTTACTGAGAGAGGGCACAAATTGTCTGTGCTGGCTGTGGACCCTTCTTCTTGTACCAGTGGTGGTGAGTATTGCCAACTCTTCTTAAATTGCAGAGCAGGGGCTTGGGGGGCTCCCTGTTACAAGTTAGTAGGAATTGGCACAGTCAGGTGACTTCTACCCTCGAGCTGAGTTTGGCCTCACTGAAGGAAGGGAGTTCTGGGGGTGAGGTGGAGGCTGAAGGAGGTATTGGGCTCTACAGCCAAGGTTAGGCCAGGAGTGGCCTGGGTACTTAGAGAACTAGGAGAACACTGCCCCAAGTTGAAGATAATTAAAAGCAAATTTCATCTCTTTGTTTATCACTCCTGAGGCGAGGCCCCTCTTCCCTCCTGTTTTTCTTGGTTGCATCAGCTTCTACACAATTCAGAAAATGGGTCCGTCCTCATTCGTTATTTTCCTCTTATTGTTGTAACATCTCTTAAGCTTAAACACACACACACACACACACACCTTATAGCTTTATAACTTGTCACCTGTTTACATGACGTGTTCAGTTGAACAGAAAGCTCTTAGAGGGCCCATTAGTGTCCCACTGCCCCACCGCAGCACTTAGCATAGTACACTGCTCACGGTGCTCGCTCAGCAATTACTTACTGATTCGAGGTCATGCAGTCACTCAGTTTAATTTGCAGCTCATCAGAGAAAATGAATAAAGGTAGTTCCCCAAAGGATCATTTAAGGAAAACATAAAGCGTTCTATACAAATAGGAAAGGTTTTTCTTCTCTTACCCCCTATATGATTTAAGCTTCTCACATTACAGTTTCCCATTGAACAAGTATCTCAGTGCCTACTATAGGTGAGGCATTGTGCAAGGAAGTACTGTATCGTCCAACAGTGAATAAGACACAGCCCTCCTGGCCTTATGGAGCTTTATTTCTTATGAGAGAAACACAGGCCATTACAAAGTAGTGTGTGTTGTGAATGGGGAAGTATCGTGTGCTTTGTGTGGAATTGTTTGCTTTGCATTCTGTGGGTTTAAGGCTAAAAAGTAAAGAGGATATAATTGTATTTCTGGGGCTTTAGATTAATAGAGAGGTTGACAGCAATTCATGTTACCACCCATTGAGAAACTTGGCTGAGAACATTCACAGTTTTTGATTCGCTATAATAAAAGATTAATTATAAAATAAAATTTATGTTTACAAGGTTCAGGATAAAATTTATATCAATGTAGTGTCTTCTTTATAGTCTAAGAACTTTTTTAAAGGTATATACCTGAATGAAGAATTTTTTATAGTGGCCCTCATTTCCATATAGGTGAGAAGACTACCCTCTCCCCCACCCCCACTCCCCATAATACTCTAGAATACTTGCAATAGCAAAAGAAAATAATAGCTTGGGCCCTAACCGGTTTGGCTCAGTGGATAGAGCGTCAGCCTGCAGACTGAAGAGTCCCAGGTTCGATTTCGTTCAAGGGCATGTACCTTGGTTGCAGTCGCATCCCCAGCGGGAGGTGTTCCGGAGGCAGCTGATCGATGTTTCTCTCTCATCGATGTTTCTAACACTCTATCCCTCTCCCTTCCTCTCTGTAAAAAATCAATAAAATATATATTTAAAAAAAAGAAAATAATAGCTTGGGGCAATACTAGCAGAAATGGTGACATAAAATAGTCTGATCCAAGTTGCATAGCTATGTGCTCTCAAACCCAAAATGAGGGTCCCTTTCCCAGGTAAAACAAAATATAGACATTGAAAGAAAAAAATAAACAGAGATACACAGCATACTATAAGTACAGATTTCTACCTCACAACTACAACAATATATACATTTGAAAAATAGCATTACATTAAGGTTTGAGAAGCAAACCTTGTGCTTTGCATTCACAGACGTCCTGCAGCAGCTTTGAGACCTTCCTAAGGGCCTGCACCCAACAGTTTTGGATTCACTGGCGAAGACAATTACATGGGAGAGTAATTTCATAATGTGGAGCTCAGTGTGTTAGGATCTACAGGACAGTGATTCCAGGCATAGCTTTGGCAGATTGTTGACTTACAGAGAGGATTTCATGCAGAAAATTACTTTAGAAAGAAGTTTCAAGTGCAGTAAATAAGGTAGTTGAGACATGTGGTGAGTCTGTGCTCCAGAATTAGAACCTATGAGAACTCTACACTGGGACCATAAGGGAAAAGATCGTGTTTTTAAGCAAGTTCTCAATGTTTAGCATCAACTTTATGTGGGAAAGTTAGCTCTTGGGCAGAGTGAAAATGGAAATTCAGGTTAGAACAGCACTACATTCTCAGATGTTAATATGTGGCTAAAAGAAAGATGTTCAAGGTGATTTCCGTAGTTCCAGAGTTTTCCGTTCTGCAGAATTTGCAAATATTGATGTTTGCCAAAATACTGCAGTAAATCACCATAGGAATTAAATTAATTGCCTACTGTGGACAAGCATTCAGCATACAAATACGTAAGACATGCTCCTGTGGGCGGGAGCTGACGTTACAGCCAGGCTTCTCCACCTTGGCACTGACATTCCTGGTGTCAGCAGCTATCCTGCACGTTGCAGGATGCTTAGCAATATCCTGGTCTCTACCCACCCGGTGCCACCAGCACCCTAACCCCCAGTTGTGACAAGTAAAAATATCTCTAGGTATTGCCACATTTCCTCTGGGGCAAAATCACCCCCAGTTGAGAGCCATAAACATAATGTTAAGATGACAGTAAAGAAACCACCCTGGCTGGAATGCAAGGTTGGTTTGGGGCCTAGTGGAAGTTGAAATTGGTCAGGCCGTGTCGGGCTGAAGAATCTGGATTTGAACTCTAATCCAGGGGTAGGGAATGTCCAGCTTGCATACGGCCCGCAAAATCATTTGGTCTGGCCCTGCCAAGGTATTAGGGGTGGGTTAATTAAATGTTTGACCAAATATAGTAGGCTAATTTTTAAGTTGATAATTTTATATGGCCCTTGAATGATGTTATAAATATCCAAATGGCCCTGGGCAGAAGAAAGGTTCCCCATCTCTGCTCTAGTATGTGGGAAGCCATTATAGGTTTTGAGGGGCTCGAAATGCTAAAAAAATTACTTGTGGAGCATTGTATACACTATGTGGGGGAAAAGCTCAATGATATGAAATACAACTTGAGTTTTGGGGATAAATGTCATAAAACATTTGGCTCATTGATCACTGGCCCTTATAAGTGTTCCGTGATTGTAACTGTGTTTTAGGATCACTCTTGGGGGATAAAACCCGAATGACTGAGTTATCAAGAGATATGAATGCATACATCAGACCATCTCCTACTAGAGGAACTTTGGGAGGTGTGACAAGGACTACAAATGAAGCTATTCTGTTGTGTGAAGGAGGGGGATATGACATCATTCTTATTGAAACTGTAGGTGAGTGTGATTTTCTGCTTCCTAACAAAATACTGTTCCAGTGAACTCTATAAAGATGAGTGACAACTAATTTCATTGGTTATTTCAAAGATATTGACTAAGAACATAATTAAATTCAAGATGTCTCAGACTGTATAGAGATATGAATATATAGGCTATAATCCTGCCCTTAGAGAGAAGAAAACTAAGCCATGTATCTGGATAACTGTTGCACAGGTGATGGGTTATGAGTGTCAGAGGAGACCTGTAAGTGTCAGGATGACCTACGGAAACGGTACTTTAACATGACACCTATTTTGTTTAAGCACATTTCAGAGGTCTGCAATGTCCACTAACCAAATTATTATAGTTGGGTGCCTGTTGAATACAGGGCCATGGTTACTTCATTTTTATATTGCTATTGCACAATTTTATGTGGTGAAAATACTGAAATAGAAACCCAAGAAATTAACATTCTTGTGGAGAGACCATCCGTTATGTTACTGTGTGATAAACGTTGGTGACACAACCTGATTCAGATTTGGGGTATCAGGGAAGACTTCCAAGAGGAGGTGACAGTTGAACTCAGTCTTGAAGGAAGAATTGGAGTTACATAAAGTATGGGCTAACGGGCATTTGCAAAGACAGAGGAGCCAGGGAATGTGGTCCATTCAGAGGACGGAAGTGTGCTCAGGATGCTTAGAGCCGCGAGCATGAAGACTGGATGTGAATAGAGATGGGGCTGGAGGCTAGGAACTCTACCATCTGAGGCTGGATGGAGGGAAAGTTGCCCTAGTGGTAACAGGAGAATCCAGGGAGAAGAGGACCATAAAAACCAAGTGTATGCCCGGTCGGTGTGGCTCAGTAGTTGAGCATCGGACCATGAACCAGGAGGTCACAGTTCAATTCCCGGTCAGGGCACATGCCTGGGCTGTAGGATGGATCCCCAGTGGGGGGGGGGGGGGGGGGCGCGTGCAGGGGGCAACCAATCATTGTTTCTCTCTCATCAATGTTTCTACCTACCTCTCTCCCTTCCTCTCTCTAAAATCAATAACAATATATTTTAAAAAAACCCAAAACCCCAGAGTTGCATTTGGCTGCTTGTCTTTGAGACTCAAAATAACTGTGATTTAAATGAGAAAGAGGTGTATTTCTTTTGCAAATAAAAGAAGCTTGGAGGCAGGTGTCCTGAGCAGATATGGGGGCTCTACTGTGCCCTCAATGCCCCATTCTTAGCACTTAGTTCCCAAGGTTGCTCACGGTTCAGAGATGGCTGATGAAGCACTACCTGTCACATCCATGTTCCAAGTGGAAGGAGAAGGGGGAATAAGGAAGGGAGAAGGCAGGCAGAAGAGTGTACACCTTTCCTGGAAACCCCATCTATGACTTGCTTCTGCTCGTTAATCACCCGTAGCTGAAAGGGGCTCTGGAGAATATGGTCTCTCACCAGGTCCATGGTCTCCTAGTAACACTGGGGCCAGGAAGTAGGGAAGAATAAATGCTGAATGGGCAACTGCAAGTCTGCCACACTGAGGAAGGAGAGAGTGTTGAGAGGGGTTTAATGGAGCAGGGGATGTGGAAGTCCTCTGTAAGTGGATTGAGATTAATGTGAAGTATTTGGATGAAGACCATGAGCATGTATTGCAGTGGTTCTCAACCTTGGCTGCACATTAGAATCACCTGGGAATCTTTTTAAAATCTTGATTTCTGGGCCTCACCCTCCGGAAATTCTGTTTCTTTGTTATGGGGTGAGGCCCAGAAATCAGGATTTTAAAAAGATTCCCAGGTGATTCTAATGTGCAGCCAAGGTTGAGAACCACTGATGTATTGCTTTTTTTTTTTTTTTTTTTTCCCCTAGAAATTTAGCTCTAAAGAGAAGGTGGGAAATCTGGTGATGATTGGAGGAGGTTGAGAGATTTGGTCTGTTTTTTTGTTTGGTTTGGTTTGGTTTTCAGACGAGAAAGACTTGAGTACAATTCACATGATGTGCTGAGGGAGAAGAGCCTGTAGACACAGGCGAGGTTAGAGACAAAGCAGAGCAGCCCAGAGGAGGGCAGAAAAGGGGGTCACGTCAGCCAGTGCTTATAATGCTGGGACTGGAGAGGAGGCAGGAGGCAGAGCTTGTTTCACATATGCTTATTTGTGGAGGGGGAGAGGGAGCAGCTGGAGGGGGAGAGGGAGAAGCTGGAGGGTGAGAGGGAGCAGCTGGGGGGGGGGAGACAGAAGCTGGAGGGGGGGAGGAGAAGCTGGAGGGGAGAGGGAGAAGCTGAGGAAATTCTTGCTGTCATTTCACTGTGCAGTAGGTGCCAGGGTCGTCACCATGTGAAGAAATTATGGGACACTGACTGTATGGCCACTGTGAGGAATGGGAAGGAGCTGACTGAGGGGTTTTAGGGGCGTTGCTTTTACAGGCCGTGAGGAATTTGCAGGAGACATTGGAACCCCTGAACTTATAGTAGTGCTTTAGATCCTCACTTGAGCAGTTTCTCCAGGCGCCTATAGAGGCCAGATAACTGCACTGACCCATGGGTAGGAGTTTGCAGGGCTGGTGTAGAAGGATGAGAAGGCAAGAAAACGTATTGGCAGGCATAGTGCAGGTTAGAATCACAGTGCTCGAGCTGCTCACTGGTGAAGGGAAGCCAGGGAAGCCACAGGAGTGAGGGGGGAGTGGAGGCCTCAGGGTTCCCCATTCTTTCAGAGACCGGAGACTAGTGGGAAGGACAGGAGAGGCGGGAAAGAGGACAGGTGTGCTGGCAGCGTGAGACGTGTAATAAGTCCTGCAGAGGTGGGTGTTTAAGGTGGGATCGGGTTGAGAGGCTGATTGAATGAGGGAATGAAGCGGAATAGAAATGATGGTCAGTGTAGTTGAAAAAGTCAAATTACTGTGAACATTTTAGTGTATGGTTGTGATTTAAAATTTCAGGTGTGGGTCAGTCGGAGTTTGCTGTTGCTGATATGGTTGACATGTTTGTTTTACTGCTGCCACCAGCAGGAGGGGATGAATTGCAGGTAATTGTTTTGACTTTTTTCTCCCCAAAACACAAAGCATACCTCTCTGAAAGTGCAGTTTCAAATGTGTTTTTTTTTGTAAATTAAGTTGATATTAGTGTGGGGAAAGAAACAGCTGCATCCACATTGGCTGAAATACTTGTCAAAGGCAGATTCTGTATATTTTTCCCAACTATAGTAATAGAATTTATGACCTTGAGCTAATGATACAATTTAGATGTTTTCACATGGAACATGGGAGTGATGTCATATATGGGCAGCTCCGGCAGGAAGGGACCACTGTCACATGGTGTTTGAAGTACAGTTGGCTCAGAAGTTCCTCATGAGATACCACTTTGATTTTAATCAGGATCCCACTGTCATGGTTTATGGATTGTAAAATAGGATTCTCGCTTTCCTCCTGCAATGTAAATCCGGCACTGACTCCCTGGAGTTGGCAGCCTACCCAGGTGGAGGCCACTGTCCTCCAGAAGATGCCCTCACTCCAGACACCAGCAGCAGGCCTTGGGGTTCCCAGCCCACCCACGGCTCTGACCAACTGGCCACAAATGTGGGGGGCGGGGGGGTTCCCACAGGCTTGATGATTAACTAGCATGACTCACAGAACTCAGGGAAGCACTGTATTACAGTCACAGTTTTATGATGATATAAATCAGGAGCAGCCAAACGAAGAGACACAGGGAGAGGTCTGGAAGGGTCCCAAACTTGAAGCTTCTCTGTCCTCAGGACACATTCCCTCCTGGCACATTGATGTGTATCTCCTGCCAGGGGGTTCACCTGTGAATCAGTGTCTGGGGTTCTTATCAGGGTTTCTTTACATAGACGCACACCACTCACCAAGTCATTGTCCACATGACTGATCTCAGCCCCCAGGTTCTCCCCCACCCCCATCCTTCCCCAGAGGTCAGGCCTAAGGTCCAACCCTCTCATCACAAGGTTGCCCTTTCTGGTGTGGGCAGCTCCCATTCTGAACTCAGAATAGTCCAGGCACCCATGGAATAACACAAGACATACCTATCACTCAGGAAATTCCAAGGGTTTAGAGGTTACTTCCCAGGAACCTTAGACAAAGAGCAGATAAATTCTTTATTATACAGTACCTCCCTCCCAATTGTATAACTTTTAAAAAATAGTGACAACAGACTATGGATGCTGCAATCTAGAAACATTAACTATTAGATTTAATCATTAGAAATTACGTTTAAAAATATTTGAAAAGAAATATTGCTCTTAGATGGAAAAATCTACATTTTCCCAATAAGGTTGGCCTTAGATTTCCAGTGTTTTTATGCAATGTAATTTAAATCAAGAGATTGAGGCATTTTTAGCCATCAGGTTATTTTTCCTCAATAGCAAATTGGAAAAACCAACAACGCTGTAAACACTTAAGGAAAACTTCACAGACTTTGTTTCCAGAAACAGATGTGGTGACAGGTGTTTTCTGTTCAAGCACCTCAATGGTGGGTGCTTTTGCATCTTGCATTGTTAGCACATGAGACAAATCCTTCACGAGACAATGTGCCTGTCTCCTGCCATGTGTCTTGATGATATATCTACTCTAATTCTGAATGATTCCAGCAGGTTAGGCTCTAAAGTGAAAAGAGGCATTACAGATGACTTTCACATCCCAAGAGGTGATGCTTTTGAGTAATTTCTGTCAGTAATTGTGATTCCTGGTACCCAGGGCTTGGGAAGATGCAGAGAAGACATTAGTTAATGAAGTGTAAGACTTTCAAAAACTTAGTACCCATAGGTGTCCCATTTGTTTGCTGTAATTAAATTAAATATTTCTGATAAATCACTTTCTTCTCCTTTTCTCTTCAGGGTATCAAAAGAGGTATAATTGAGATGGCAGATCTGGTAGCTATCACCAAGTCTGACGGAGACTTGGTTGTGCCAGCTCGAAGGATACAAGCAGAGTATGTGAGTGCACTGAAATTACTCCGCAAGCGTTCAGAAGTCTGGAGACCAAAGGTGAGCTTGCGCTCCATTCTGCATTTTTCACCATGAGTACCCTGGGCATCCTAGAGGATGGAAGTCCCCAGCTAGACATATAATCAGTCTTTGCTTGTATGTAAAAATTGAGTATGTAGTCATGTTTTTAAATATAATTCTTTAACCACTAGATGCCAACAACGAGATGTGAGGTGATAGATTAGATTGCTGAATGCTTGACCTGAGCCACTTGGAAGTGATAGCAGATCCATTCCGAAAGGAACCGTCCTTAAGATTATGGAGTAATTAATGATTGATGATCTATAATAGTGTTTGAGTAAGACAGAAAAGGCTTTTGAAGTGATAGCTTCCCATTAAGCTCATTGGGTGCTGTTTTCAACAAGGGAAAAGAAAAAGGAAAACCCTGTAATAAGTGATGCAATAATATTGACGTGGGCAGCTTCCTCTGCAGGAGGACTCTGTGTTATTAAAGACTAAACGTGCCCTGGCCAAGGGGCTCAGTTGGTTGGAGCACAGTCCAGCACACCAAAAGGTTTCGGGACTGACCCCCAGTAGGGGTGCATACAGGAGGCAGTCCATCAATGTTTCTCTCTCTCCCTCTCCCTAAAAGTCAATAAAAACATATCCTCAGGTGAGGATTGAAAAAGAGACTAAGCTGTAATCACTGCAGTGAGAGCAGTGCTGACACAGTTACCTTTAGCTCCCAGCCTCCCCCAGTCATGTGTGTGTTGGGTCCAGAGCAGTCAGGTGCCCGATGTTCCGCTCTCACCATTTGCTGAATCAGGCACCTTGGACAGAGTTGCTCAACTGGGTTTCATTTTTCTGGCACTCGGGCCTCAAAGAAACCTACCTGGCAAGGCCCTTCTCATCCTTGCAACACTCTCACAGTTTCCCAGGATGCCTCTGACCACCATCTGAGCAATCGTAAATCCAAATAAATCTCTGGGCTAGAAAACTTGACCTTGAATCAGTAATTCATTTCTGCTGTGCACTTAGGAATCCTAGTAAGTTACCTCGGTGCATTTCCCAGGATATTAACTTTGACACATCAATAAAGTGTCTCCTCCTCACCATTGCCTAGGACCTTGGACTGTAAGAATGAATTGGCAAGTGTTGGAGTCCCATGAAAGTGTGTTCTATCATTTTAAGTAACACAGTTCTGGTTTTTCCCTTCTCAATAGGTAGTTCGTATTTCTTCCAGAACTGGAGAGGGGATCGCTGAGATGTGGGATAAAATGAGAGAATTCCGGGACCTGATGCTTGCCAGCGGCGAGCTGACGGCCAGACGACAGAAGCAGCAGAAAATCTGGATGTGGAACCTCATTCAGGAGAGCGTGCTAGAACATTTCAGGACCCACCCCACCGTGCGGGGCCAGATTCCTCTCCTGGAAAGGAAGGTGCTCAGCGGGGCCCTCTCCCCAGGGCTAGCGGCAGACTTGTTGCTGAAAGCTTTTAAAGCAGAGACTAATGAGATGTAGGCTACACGGTAATGTTACATATTGTTTTGTAAAGTATTTTAATATTAAAAGTGATTCTTCTGTGGTGTCCTCGGCCTCCCTATTTGAAAACTGAAGAATGTTAGATGTGGATGGCCAAGGTCAGGCCGTCGGGCAGTGTTTGTAAGGTGCCTATTGTATGTTACTGATTTCCATTTTTTTTCTGTTCCCTTCTATCCTTGTATCCTGGCACAGTGGTGTGTAAAAAAGTTTCTTCTCATCAGTCAGGAGCAGAGAAAGCTGAGTGGTAGATCGTGTACCTGAAAGTGCCTCCTTTGATTCTGTGTTCTCTGGGAATTTCAAGAGAACCCGGAAGCAAAGAGTCACCACATTTCTGAGGCCCGAACGATACACAGAGGGTTTCTAAGAGCCGAAAATCATGAGTGACTGCTCCAAGAATTTCAGAAATGGCCATGTACACGCATGACAAAGCAGTTGGAATCTGCCATGACGTGAGCACAATGTTCAAGTTTCCTTATCTGTAAAATGAGGGTAAGAAAAGCTACTTTACAGGATTGTTGGAATAACTAAAGGAGAAATTGTAAAATGGCTAGCACTCAATAATTGGTTGGTGTTGCTAGAAATATTACACGTGGACACCCTGCCAGATCTCTGTTCTATAATACAGACTGGCATCATTTAACTTTAGTCTGGGCAAACTGCTTAATCTCCCTGTGTCTCACTTCCCTCGTTAGTAAATGGGGTTGACAACAGTGTCCACCCAGAGTTGTTGAAAGGACTATTTTATTTAGCATACATAGTGCCTGGACATAGTAAGTGCTAAATAAATATTTACCAATAGTCCCTACCTTTTAGGGTGGTTGTGAGGATTAAATCAGTTAGTCTCCCTTCAGCTTAGAAGGATAATTCTTTTCTGAAGAAAACCTCATAGGTTGACCTCGCCTTTGTCAAAAGCATAATTACCACTAATTTATGTAAGTAGGCAGAAATATGCTATGTTCCAAACTGAGCTCCAAAATTGGCAGGCATGTTGCTAAAACCATACCCAATTTCATTAAAGTGACTACTGTTCCTTGTACAGTTACAGCTGCAGGGAGCATTAGCAAACACCATACAGCCTAGCAAGGCACTTTCTCTTCGTAATCGCTCTAGGCATGGCTGCTCACCTCCTTCCCTGAGCTCTGTAGCCATTGCCCGGTCTACACTGAAGAAAAAGCTGGTGAACGCGTGGTGGCTGGCACTCACTCAGTGTTCGCATTGTCATACAAAGAAGATGAAAAATGATGAACAAGTTGAAATTTTTCTTAAAAAGGAACAATCTGAAAGAAATTTTAGCCTATTTGTCTTTCTTTGCTTCCACGATAGTATTTTGGTTAATTGGTTACTAAATTTATGAACTTTTTAAAAACCCACTTGACATAAATGCTTGGTGATAATTCCTGTCCCATGAGGTATATATAAGTTTACTTTTTTGTCATTAGTGGTATGTTTGACAAAATATTAGAGTCAGTACAAAAGCACTTCTAAGGTATTGAATTTTTTTCCCCCAGAAAAAAAGTGAACTTTGTACTGTAAAATGTAGATGATGCTAGTGTGAGTCAAAGTACCTTAATACGTACCTGAAACTTTGGTGCATAAAGGTAATCTTGGGGCATTTTATTTTGCTTAGCAATCTCAGCGTCTTGATGGAATGAGGTGAGGGCACATGTAAGCCAGTAAACTATTCCGCTCTCAGCAAGTCTAAATTCTTAATGTTGCTTTTAACTAACACAGAGGACATCGTGTGACCTCCTCAGAGCTCTGGCCAATCTTAGAATTCTATAGAGAGATATCTTACAATGGATGACAGGACAGCTATTTATTAGGCTCATATTCAGGTACCAAATCCTGTTACATATGGAACCCAACTATTTCAATGATCAACACGTTCTTCTTAAGAATAAAATCACATTAGCTTTTATACCCAAGTTTTGCTGACTTGGGATTCCCTCACATTACGCAGGATCCCAGTTCCCTGAAAAGTCCTTTCCCAAGTATTCTTGGAAGTTCCAGATTTTCCACACCGATTCACGAATAAGCTCACACTTGGGTGCAGCTCATTCCTGCCAGGCTCTTGCTGGGCCTCCACTGTTTCCGCTGCCACTGCGCCTGTAGGGAATGCGGCCCTGCTCAGGGGTTCCCAAACTGTTCCCAGAGCACAGGATCCTCATGTCTCTTAGGGCTGGGGTAGCTCTCCTGCCTCTTCTCCCAGGACCTAATAAACATATAATCTCTGCAGAAAACTAGGTCTCCCAGAAGCCCCCCTTTCAAAATGTCTTTCAACTCCAAAAGACGCCCGGATAGTTAGCATTCTCTCCTTCTCTGGCATATCAGCCGTAGAGGAGCCGTGTTCTCCCAGCTTCATGTGTGCCGGGGTGGGCAAAAGTGGCTTTACAGTTTAATACAAATAAATAATACAATAACTAATAAATATTAATACAAGAACAAACTCTCTTTTGTGTACTTGCAACTGTAAACCTACTTTGCCCTGTATGTTACTGCTGATTCTGTGAACCTCCCCTCAAGAGAGGCATTGTTACTCCCCTTTTACAGAAAGGGAAATTGAGCAAGGAGAAGACTGAGAAGTTTATCTAAATTCACCATTCCTATATATGATGCATTTATACAATAGATTTAAAAACTATTGTTTTCCAAGTTGCTCAGAGCACTTCATGACCTTCATTCGTGCTTTCTATGAGATAGTGCGGTGACAGGTAGTCCCTTCATTATAGACGCCTCTGTGGTGTAGTGTGGGTAAGGGATTGTGCATAACCTGTAAGTTCCTGTGCAGTAGTTTATTTTTAGGGCCCTTTTCCTGTAACCACTATCTTAGATTTTGCTCTTTTGGAAAACGGTGCCTCAAGGTATTTTTCCCAGTAGACTTTTCTGCCTAAGTTTGAAGATACCATTTTAGACATTAAAAAAAAACAAAACAAAAGAAACCTTAATATCAGCTTCTATATTAGCCAGGACTCTTGGCTAGAAGTAACAGAAACCCACTAGCTTAGGCAAAAAGGGACTTATTGGCTCATCTGCTCATACGGGGAGAAGGGGAGGGGTGCAGCAAGCCTTAGGAACATGATGCAAGGATTCTCCGTGTCTCACCTCTTCCTATGTGTTGACCTCATGTTCCTGGCTTTCTGCACACATAGATGGAGGTGTGGCAGCCAGCAGCACCTCAGTCCCCAGGAAGGGCTCCCTGTCTCCACAGATTTAATCCTGAAAGTCCCAGGGAAGCACTCGATTGGCCTGCCTGAAAGGTCACAGGCCTGTCTCCATGGCCAGTGTGTGGGGTACTATGATTGACAGGAAACACTTGGAGTTGGGGAAGGACCCGGTCTTCAAAATAAGTGGGGTGTCAGTCACAGACTAAAGTAGGATGCCAGGCAGGCAAAACAAACGTCTACTGCAAATACTTTAATCTCCAAATACTTGAAATAAGGTAAGGTATAAATAAATTCGTGTTATTGATGTGTTATACCAGCGATTTTTCAACCTTTTTCACCTCCTGGCACACATAAACTAATTGCCAAAATTCTGTGGCACACCAAAAAATATGTTTTTTGCTGATCTGACAAAGAAAATAGGTATAAGTTTGATTTACCCACACCGGATGGCTATTGTTGTGTTGGATGTTGTCATTTTTTTATTTGCCAACCTAAGGGAAAAGAGGTCAGTGCCCCTGACTAGTCAGGGATTGCATTCTTGCCGCACACCAGTTAAAAATCACTGTCATACTAAATGTGAACTTCAGGGAAAGGGTTGATTAATTATTAACCTAATTATTGGTAATATGCTACCAAAACACACAAGTCATGCGGGCTTTTCTAGCTCTAATTTTGTCTCATATTTTACAATTCTAGTTTCCACTTTAATACTTCATAGTTTCTTGGTTCCCAATTTCAAATTCCTGACAGAAGTAGGATGGGTCTGTTTATCTTTGGGAGGCAACAAAGGTCACTGAGGGAGATCTGTGGTGGGTTGTTTCAGGGGGTGAATAAAGTATCAATACGGTCCCTTCCTATTCTGCAGGAACAGTTTGTAGAGCATAGTTTCTTCAGGTTCCTGGTGGGGCAGGCATGATGTATACTTCCACCACAGAACAAATTATTGGGTGGGTAAGTGGGTTTCAGAGGGGTGAAGTGATTTGCTTAAGCAGCCAGTGTGACTCGGACTCAAGCCTACTTCTCCTAACTCTTTGCTCAGTGATCTATTACATGGATTAGAAACCAGCTCTTAAGGAAAATGTATTGCCTGATAACCATAATCTTTTATATGATTCCTGCTCTTTCTTTGAAGGTTATCAGTCTGTTTAACTCTAGAAATGTCATTGTTTACTGGAGATGTGCTACACACACTGCATCATTATTTAGGACTAGAGGCCTGGTGCACAGATTTGTGCACATTGAAAGTAAATTAATTAGAAGGAGGCTGGCAGGGTGAGATGGGCTGAACATGCCCTAGAGCCAACCTCTCGTGGTCCCTCCCCAGCTGGCCACACACCTGGGGCGGCACCCGGGCTTGAAGGGCATCTGCAGAGTGAGTGGGGTCCCTCTGGCCTGCGGGGATAGGGCTGAAACCAGTAGTCCAACATCCCCAGAGGGGTCCCAGAGTGCAAGAGGGCACTCTGCAAAGTTGCTGTCGCTCAGCAGCTCCTGAGTTGAGCATTTGCCCCCTGGTGATCAGTATGCATTATAACTACCAGCCAGTTGGCCAGTCGGCTGGTTGTTTAGGCTTTTAAATATATAGACTAGAGGTCTGGTGCACAAATTTGTGCACAGGTGGGGTCCGGTCGGCCTGCACCAATGGGGGCTGATTGGGGTCGGGCTGGGCCATGGGTGGTTGGCCAACTGGCCCCGCCCCAATCGGGGTGTGGGGGGCCAATCGGGGCTGATCGGGGCACCGATCAGGCTGGTTGGCTGCCAAAGTGCTCATCATAGGGACTGGTCATTCTGTCATTCCAGTTGCTTGGCTTTTATATGTATAGATAAGAACTTGAGAAATCACACCACCTCTGGATAAAACCAGTGAGGTTGCTGGTTCCGGCAA